ATCTTGCCTCATAATTTGGTTTGCCTGGATTGCCCTCCTCTTTGATAGACCGATCCATGATGGTCTAGTGGTTAAAGACAATGTAAGTGTCGTGAGGGAATCCAATAGATTTTGACATATAAACATAACGAACCGGACAAAGACTCGGAATTTCTCGAATAACCCTCTCAATAGGGCACTGGTCGGTGTGATTCAACAGATCGACAACTTCGTCCCACCTGCAAGTGAATAGACCCGCTGGAATTACTACGGCAGCTCATCTCTGTCTCTGCAATAAATGCGCACACTACATGCACAACTTTCCAAATTGTTTCGGTAAACTTTGAATTAGATGATTATTAGTCGCTTCGAGGCTGGCACAGATCTAAAGGATGTCTATTTTACAAGATTGAGCGCGCTATTTTATAAACTATATATAGTTTTTAAAGGGAATTTTCTTTTGGTTTGTTACGCCGTTCTTCCAGATCTTGTATCAGCTAATCAATGCCGTCATTTTAAAAGGCAATTTACAGAACCGTCGTTGAAGTAAAATTTTTAGTTAAGGATGATATAAGTTACTAAATCTGAGGAAAGGTGACCAATTGAAACCAAGATTTTGGAGTGTTGAGTTAATGCTAGCATGTAAATTGCATTCTGTTGAAGGCGAATGCGACTTCGGAAATTCTTGATTCGTCACTCTCCACTGCGCATTCTAAACCATTGTTTGACGTTATCAGGATGCCTACGTTACAAAACCACACATTTTTATGACATTCATGGCTTCTACATCAAATAGTCTGTTAGCATTGGGAGACTATAAACGCTTTTGCTCACAGACGGCAGGCTCTTAATAAACACGCTAACTGAAAGCCGGCAAGAGTTGACGAATTTAGACTTGTCAGCCATGCATCGCTGTTTGCATTTCCGTCAATGTTGACACCCAGCTAAGTGGTGCCCCAGAATTGGTGTTGTGAAATAGATTACCTCTTGTTGTAGATGATGGCGCGTGCAGCTTTCACATTCTCCTTTTTAAAAGCATAAGACGTGAAGTAGAGTCCGTTCCCGTCCTGTATAAATTTCGCTCCCTTATCCATCAGATACGTAACGACATTTTCGTGATCCTTTTGAGCCGCGTAATGCAGTGCTGTCATCTATAAACAACTTCGACATTATACACAGTTATTTATTTGTCATTTTAAGCAAGCTCAAGACAAATGTCCTCTTTTAATTAGTTATAAAGTGGAGTATAAGTTTTTCGTAAAAATTTGAAACTGATTGGTGAAATATTATTGTAAATACCTAATATAAATTGGCATCCATAAAAGTAATAGTTATGAGTACGTATTAATTGCTTCCATTGTCCGTTAAGAACCTCTCTTGCATTTGTGTCACATGCGATCAACTGCCTTCTGCCCACCATGAGTGTCGTTGAGCCTTTTGCTCATGCATTTGTGCATTTTAACCATAAACGCAATGGTTAGAGGACTCCGTCGAGGTGTTTGTACCACTCTTACAAAATCTATCGAAATTTAGTTAAAAATACAGGATTAGTGAATCCCACCCCTTTTGGACGAATAAGTATTTTAACAACCAAATGTACCGAACTTGGCTTGGATTGCTCAAAGGCCAACGGATCTACAAAGTCGCCACCTTGTATCCAAACAGCAAAGATTTAGCATTGTACTGATGACAGCATCCAAGCCAGCTCTTCGCAAATGTCTAAGTAGCTTACTCATTACTTTTGTCAAGTAGTAACCGCTTGGTGAGAAGTTAAATCATCGTGTATTTCATGATAAAATACCGGCCTGTTTAGCAATATCTGGGATTAATTCCTCAAATTCACTTACACCACGAAAGTCACGAGCGTCAATGATGCATATGTTGGCTCCAAGAATAACTTTGCATGTCTCCAGGCTTCCTGCTTGTGCTGCCCAATGTAGTGGTGTTCTTCCCTTTTGGCACCTACAAAACTCACGTCACTTTTAAGGAAAAGAACCGAATCCATTGCTGACTTCATTGGTTGGAATGGGTAGGAAAGAGTATCCGATAAAGGATTAATTGCACTTATTCGAAGTGCAAATAAAGAAGTAACTTGCCATAGTTAATTCTACTGGTTGCGCTATGGCTCCAGTGTGAAAATTATTTAACCAGATTCCCTAATATAGGCAATTTTGATTAAACTTTTGATAAAGAGTTAAATACTTGTGGTTCCCTTTAAGAGCATTTGCGTTTAGGACGAGTAGTTTGGCCCTGCTTGCCCTTTACTTAATTTAACGAATGCATTAATCGTACCTTTATGTGTTAGAGCCTAATAATCTTAGATGTATTAATAAGGTCTTAGTAAAGCTACCCCTAAATTTCATCACTACTCCCCATTTTCATATGCCTCAACTCACAATATTTAGATACCGAGGGTCCCGATAGATTACTTCTGTTTAAAAGGGAAATTGTCAACAAACACAGGCTTTGTAGGCCCTCATTGCCCATATTCCCTACCGAGCTGACGATGCTGAGATTGAGAAAGTCACTGAATACACAACAGGCTATTCTTGGTCAAGGGAGGCTTAATCGCTTGTCAATCTTGCTTAACTCAGCTAAACGTCAGGTGAGATACTGATTTTTCACTTCAATGCAACATTAGCCCTCAAAAATCAAAATTAATGTAAAAAAGTGGTATGGTATCAGAGACCTTTGAAGTAGCAAACAAATAAAAGTGAATTTATGTATAAATTTAGGCGCCTAGTTACAATATCCCAGGCTCCACAATGAATTTGAAGAGGCTTTCATGCTTGTAAATGATAGTCACATAAGGTAAACCATTTTCCCAAGATCATTCTTGCATGTTTATCTTCAAGGTAGGTGTTCATGTCCACAAAAAGAACAACTGCGAGTTTAAACAATTGAAATTATTTTAATGATAACTTTACAAACAGCATGATAAGTACCTGCGGGAACTACTGCCCTTAGCAATGAGCAAAGAGACAACGTGAGTTTGTGCGTAGGCAGCGGCAATGTGAAGAGGCGTGCGGCCATGAGCGTCAGAAGTGTTTATGGACCAAAGGCCGTGGCCGGTGCAAAGCAGACTTTCCACCGTAGCCACACAACCCTGTTTTGCTGCAAGATGTAGTGGCGTCTCACGGGCTCCATTTTGGTGCAAACAATTCGCTCCACTGTCCAGGAGGTCACGGGTCACGCACAACATGCTGCTACCACCTTCTGTGGCGTAGTGTAACGCCGTGCACCCGTACTCGTCTTCCTCCATTATCAACCGCTTGTATAGTCCGTGCTAAAATATTA